AGACATCCACCAGCCAGTGATTTGTTTTGTATGCCTCCGGCTTTTCTTCCTGGCGGGAAACACACAGTTTTGCCGTTTTGCCGAAAGGCTTGTGGGCCGAAGCGGTCGCCACAGTCTATATACCTCGTAATTTTTCAATCCAGCGCAAGAAAGTTCGTGTCAGCTTGCACCTGCTCGTGATTGCACCGAGCCGCAGCAGAGTGTGCAGAGCTAGGCAGCCGTGAAAATCCGTTTGGCACTCGGCTCAAAACATGGCTAAGCTCTGCTTAGTTGCAACACCGCATGTTTGGTTCTTAGCATTCCGATGGGGGCTTCAAACCTTATCGGCCACAGAAGCGTTGCAATACTCTGCATGCACATGTCACCAAAGTGAAGAATGAAGACAAGACAACAACGATTTCGAGGCGTTGAAACATGGTAGCAACACGAGCTTGAACTGAGATGGGTGCCATATGACATGCGCAAAGCCTGGCAATGCTGACAGTGGACCACCGCCTGTCCACGATGCATGCTACTGTTACTATGTTTGCATTGACGGCAAGTGTATCTTCAGTCGCTGGAAGCTTCGGCTGCAGTCTGCAAGATTCTCCTGCGGCAGCCATGGCTGGTCGTGGGCGCGGGTCCACGCTCGGATGTGCATAGTGGCATAGCATGTGCAGGAACTGGTTAGCAGCACCCTTCAAGTTTGCTGACGGAGAAGGGGGGCCACGATGGACTCTTCGAATTTCTGTCCAACCAGCAGACGGCTGCCTTATCGTGCGTTGCTGGATGTCGGCTTGTGGTTCAAGCCCTAAGTCGAGGCTCCATACCATTTGCCGTGTTCGGCTGTTTGGATCAGTTGCGAAGATGGCATGACGTTCACGCTGCACACGTTGGCATGTCGTAAGGCCGCAGCAAGGTAGCAGTGCCGGTTGAAGTTATGCAGTGGAAGGGTTCTCTCGTCGTTGTGGGCGATGTGAATTCCCTGCTCGCACCGCCATGCATTGGAGATGTCGTTTGCTGCTTTCGCCCGTGCCTCTGGTCGCCTGCGCCTCAGCGCCATGAGTCAGCAGGGCAGCAATTTTCTTGCCATGCGTGGTGCAGGGTTTGCACAGAGAAGCATCGCAACTGAAACTGGCTTTGTAGATTTCCTTATCTTCGAGACCGAAGGAGGTGCCCCGCGTCTAGAATGGGTGTCGGAACTTGAGGGGGACTGTGTGACAGCTGTCAGAAGAACCAGATGCGTATGACGTTCGCAACAAAGATGGCCTTGTGCGCCGTCTTGCAGTGGGCTACTTGTATTGCATCTGCCTCCGCAAGCATTTGACGATGTTGCAACGTTTTGCTAAGGTTGCGACCAGCATTAGCAACACGGATCACTCGAAAGCCGTTGCAGATCGGCAATGGCAGGCTTCGGACTCGGTCAGTGCTTTTGAATGCCTTTCTGGAGGCCACAGAGTAACTACCTGGCTCAGGGTTTGAATTTCATATCGGAGTGCAGACATGTGCGGAGTCTTCGTATGGCCTCCGAAGTGGTCGTTGGTTGCGTTGGGGATTGGGCTCTCAAGGGTTTTGGTACACTGGTGCAGGACGTCAGTGTTATGCCGACAGCCTTGACGGTGTCTTGAAGCCGTTGGGTTTCAGCAGAAAGCTTGGTAGTTTTTCAAGCCTATGAGAAACTTTCAGTTCGTGTGGAGGTGTAGCAAGAGCTGCGGACGATAATAAAAAAGATGACGGGCACTATGAATGTGGCATCACCACGGCCATCACCATTATCATCACCATTATCATCATCATCATCATCACCGTCCTCATCATCATCATCATCACTATCATCCTCATCATCGTCATCACCATCGTCATCACCATGGTCGTCCGCATCACGACTTTGAGTCTTTTAGAAACAGGCAAATTTTGCTGCACGAGTGCAGGCCATGATGGATGTCCAGCGATGGCCGTCTCGGGCCATGGAAATTCTGGGCTTCGGACGGGGCTTCGAAAAGGGCCTTTGGTTTCAGGCTTTGGGCTTCGGTCTCAAGGCCTGAAAGCCGACAGGGCTTGCTCTTTCTTTGACCGGGAAATGTTCGCGTACTCGGTAAAGGCATCATTGGAAGTTGCTTTCGGCTTTCTTTGCTTGGGAGGAGCCGGTCAGCCAGCTGCGAGCATCCTGGCGACGACACCGACGTCGCACTTCCCGGCACCGCTCATGCGCCGCCCAGCCGGAGCGGAGCTTCTCCCCGCTTTGCTATCGATCCCGTCGGCTGGGTCCGTCATGTCGTCCCTTGCGTGCATGTCTCATCTCATTCCGGCCTGCCCGCGACCCGTTCTGCGCTTCGTGATAGCTCTTTCCCATTCCGTAGTCCCGAGGCCCTCTTGATCTCTTCTGCCAAGGCCATGTGCCGTCGGGAGATGTTCCGAGCTTGATTTGGCTTGGGGAGCTCGCTGCCGTCTTGATCACCCTCGGCTTTGTCCTCGTGGCAGTGCACCTGCAGGCAGGGCACCTTTGACCACGCCTCCGAGACCGGTCTCCTTTGGGCGCTCTTAGAGGTTGCAGTAAGGGACATACACAGAAACCGCCGCTGCAAGTGTGAGTTCAGTCGACCTTTGGCGTGCAGGGCTGAACCCTCAACCTTCTACACCTACAACCCTCGGCCAGGTTTCGGAATGTCTTGGCCAGCGTCGGAAGATGGCAGAAAAGGCGGAAAGACTGGCGCGTCTCAGCTCACAGCAGATTTTTTGTACTAGGAATACTATAAGGGTTCTGTTGGGGGATGGCGTACGATGTCTGCAAGGGAGGCTTGGAGTTTGAGGTTTGATGGGCTCTTAAAATCGCAGACATATGAACACAAATGAAACTGTGCACAAAGTCTGCAGTCTGCGCTTACGACTTCCTCAGGGCTCCGTTTAAGGCAGCTTCTGAAGCCTTATCCCTCATCCATGTCTCACCCTTGCAGGCTCCAAGACCCAGGCTCCAGAACCCCGAAGCCTCCGAAATCGAGTGTTTGGAGGTTTTGGGGTTCATTAGGGTATCTTCAAACTCCCAACAAGGACCCCTGCCTTCCTGGCCGTCTTTGGACATCCTTTCGACTGAAGGCACCCCTGGAGCAGCCTGCCCATCTCGGATCTCCTCCAAGTGGGCCCGAGCTTTGCCACGAACTTCCAAAGCGGGCTCAGGCAGCCTCCCTTACGGTTTTTTCCGGCGTTCTTCTGCATTGCTGCTGCTGTCATTGGTGCTGCTACTGTAAACGTGTACTACGGTCAATTAACTGGCTGTTGCTGTTGCTTGACAGTGTTGCTGCTGTCATTGGCAGACTAGCTCTGGTAGTGCGGTACGAGCTGTTCTTTTCACTTTACTGCCGCCGTCGATGGTGCTGATCCGCGTGTTTTGCCGTCAACGGAGGCTCGAAGGCCTCGTGCGCTTTTTTCGAAGCCACGGAAGCCAAAGCTTCCAAAACCGTAAGAAAGTTGACGCACCGAGAGCTTGGCCAGAGCCCATGCATCGGGAACCCGGAAGTTTCCACACCTTGCAGCCTCCGTGGCCCCAAGTACCCCAAACCACACCCCTCTCTCCTAAGCCTTGCAGTGCGAGGCAAGCCTTTACCGACAGAGGGCTAAGCCCTGTGGAGCCGGATCAAGTGGCCTTGGCCTCCTTCCTCATCCCGGCCGAGGCTTTCCTGAGATCCTTTCATGTCTCTGCAACTTGTTAGGCTCCTCCGAAAAAAGTAGCCGTAGCACGGAGTCATCACGGCGAGTTAACCTAAGCATCTTGGCTCTGGTCCGAAATTGAGGCAACTTTTCGTGAAAGCTTCTTCGATGATCTGCGGAGGCTGCAGGGACCCGACAGCCCAGAGCCGTCCTCGAGCGCCACGGTGGCGTGCCTCCGGGCTCCCTTGGTGCCTCAGCGGCAAAGACCGACCGGAAGATCTTGGTGTTGCACATGGGTATAGTTCTCTTAAGTAGGATCCCGTTTAGGATCTTGTTCATAAGGGTGCCGTGCTGTTTTGCACACTTTAAGAGAGAGACCCTAATTCAGAGAACCACCCACATGCTGTTACAACTCGAAGGTGGTAAGCGGGCCTTAGCGCTCCATCTCCAACGCTTGCCGCCGGGCTGGAATGGGGGATGTGCTGGTCTTGCTTGGAAGAAAGTTCGAGAACCCTCTGCCTCCCAGCCTCCCTCAAACAAATCACTGCTCCGCTTTACCAAGGAAGCGGGAGGCCCTGGCACCCATGACTTTCCTTAGCCCCGACGCGCGGGGGCCTGGCCTGTGCATGTGAACATGCAGAGTCGGTGTGCGAAGTATACAAAGCGTGCAGGCAGGGAGGCATGCACCTGCACAGGTAGATGCGTACGTATGTGTGCAGGCATGCGTGCACGTGTTCGCGCACATGCAGCGCGTCTGTGTGTCTTCGAACCTGGCTGACCCCAGCTTTGCAAGATAGGCCAAGGCCTTCAGAATGATCCTGAGACTGCGACAGCACGGCGCTCAGGCTCTCCGCAAGTCGCTGGAACCTCGGGTGGCCCGGTTGCACTGCACAGCGTTGGTGGAGCCTGTGGGTTTCAATCCTCTTCTACATTCTGCATCATGTGATGCCTCTGAGAAGCGCGGGGGATCTGAGTCGTTACCTGCAGCATGTGGCCCATTCTGCTGGAAGGATGACACATAAAATCACAAGAACGACCCGCAATGAAACTGTAGTGGCATCCACGGAAGGATAAACATTAAGTCTCTTGGTAAATCTCACCGTGACAAGTTCCCTTACTTGACAGGTTCGCTTCGCAGGAATCGTGCAGGGTGTCGTCTCCGAGGCACCGACAGAGGGCATTGTGGGTGGATGAGAGTGTAGACCCATGTGTCGAGTTTCACATGCTTCCTTTCATGTTCGAGTACTTTGTCTTGTGCTTTGATTTGATGGCCTTCATGCACAGTGTCATTTGTTGTTAAGTCATTGAGTCATCAGATGCACGCTTGCAAGAGTCGAGGCGAAAGGACATGTTCCACTCTCATCTGTCCCCGCAACGGAGAGCCTCAAAACTTCTGCGGTGCACCTCCTGCATCAGGCGCGCGCAGATGGATTGTGGTTTCTGAAGCACTCTACCATGGATCGCAATGAAGGAGTGACGTGCTACAAAGGCCGCTTAAGCTGCACCACGTTCGGGTAAAATTCCGCGGGTGCTGTTGCTTTCACCGGTTCAAGGTTCCGGTCTAGTCGCAGTGGATGTGAAGTCACTGTGCCTTGTCGTGGCTATGGTTGGAACTGTGCTGGCAGACTTGTAGTCATTGTAGTCTACGGCTGTAGGTGGCAGGTTCGGTAGAGCCAAAATGATGCAGACAGCTCTTGCTCGTTGATGCAGCGTGGCCCCCTTTTTGCTAGCACCGAGGAGCCCGGGAGCTGCTAAGGGCCTGGGAGAAGATGAAGCGGAAGGAGCGCGGGCGCTACGTGGCCCAGGCCTTGCGGCAGAGAAGGGAAGGCTGGTAGCAAGAAAATGCTAGAAAGGCCGAGGTGGGAGTCGGCGTTCTCCGCCGTAGTGGTGCAGTCCCTTTGCTGTTGTTCCACTGCTTTCCAGATCTTCTTAGGTTTTTAACTTCACATGGTGGGTGGGGGTAGTAGAACTTCAGATTGCGGCAACCGCCAGGCACCCAAACAACCCTAGTCCTAACCTACAGCAAAACCCGACACGGCGGCTCCCAGCCTGGACTTGCAGTGCCCTGAGCACCCGAATGCCGGGACCCAAAGGCTCTCGACTCTGGCACCCCCGTTGCAACACACTCTCTGAAAGCTTCAAGTAACTTCAATCCATCGTTGATGCCGACTCGCAGGCGGAGGTCCAGCGCCCCTTGCTCATGGAGGGCCGGAAGATGGTGGTCCGTGCATACGTGCCCACAGGGGTTTGGAGGGTGTGTTGGGTGGAAGGTTCTGCATTTTAGGACGTTCGCCACGACTTCGATCCTCGTCTCTGTCAGGTTGTGCCGGACATTTCGAGATTCGATACGACCCCTGCATCTCCAGAATCAGAACTCCTGCTTGGTCTTAAACGTGACAAAACCTGGAGCAGCCTTTTTGTCCCTCTCTCCACAGGTGATCACGCTGCCGGGCGGACGCTGCTTCATGAACCGGGAGCTGCTTCTCAAGGGCGCTCCGCCTGATCGGGACTCTTTGTTGGGCCCCGAATTATGCAGTGAATTTCTGCACGCTGAGCAGGGTGCCAGAGCAGACTATCGGTCAGATTGCAACATAGCCAGTTGTGATCTACAGGCCCAGCACAGGTAGTGTGGTGGGACAGAACAGTCATGAGGGTGTGGCCAACCAACCAGGTTCTGCCGAAGTGATTGGAATCCTTTGTGTGCCACCGGTAAGCTTTGGCACTAGAGTCACTGGAGTTTGATTTTTGACGTTCAGTTGTACCAGTCGGTGACTTGCCGTTGTACTAGATTTCCTTGGCTTTGCAGGGGACAGAGATGCAGCCTCTTGCGCGGAACTATGCCGACCGCTCTGCTCGCAGGTCATCCGATGTCCTACGACCCAACCGATCCCGATCCACTTCGGCACGTCGTCTCGTGCGTTAAGCCTCTCGGCATTAGCATTTTCATATAGGTTGAGCACTCCTGGCCCAGGCAGTTCCCTGGCCTGCTTGGCCTGCTTGCCCTACCCCGTCTCTGTCCACGTGCAGCGAGGTACGACGGGGTGGTGTCGATGCGCGGCACGGGGTGGACACACTATGAGAAGGTTCGGCTGATGTCCTACCGTCATGTGGCGATGAAGCCCTCTGCTGGTGCACCAGGTGTGGCCGAAGCTTGCGAAGATGATGACGACTGTGCTAAGCCACGTGGAGGGTGCAGGAAGCCTGGCCGCAAGCCGTCAGGTTCAGAGCCGGAGCTCAAGTTCTCTTCGAAGGCTTTGCGTGGCCGACCACGAATCTTCCCAGCACTCAGGCAAGGTGCCATTCGCGCTTCCGGACGACACGCTGCTGGACCTCTTCTGCCACCGCGTGGTGCAGAAATACCAGGACGGCTGGAGCGGCGCTGGAGCCTCTGCAACGCGCCGGCTTCCAGCTCTGCGCGTCCGTTTCCGGCTCCCGGCCAGGATCTCCTCGACTGGATGCGCTGGGGGAGCAAAGCCGGAGCTCTTCTCTACAACTTCATGGGGGTCTGAGCCTCAGAGGATGGGAAAGGGGACGGCGGGAGAAACAAAACAGAGAGGGAACGAGAGAGCGAGAGGGTGGTCAGCCCGAGCAGGCAGGGTGAGAGATGTGAGAGCTGCTGCCAAGGCCGACATCATTGTAGACGAGGACCGCCCTCTTTGTGCGTGCCCGGATGTGCCCGCAATGCCCGTACGATCGGCAATTGAAGGCCCAGGTGAAAGAGAAGGTGTATAGCATGTTATGCTATAGTATAGTATAGTATAGTATAGTATAGTATAGTATTTCATATCAGAATCTAGTATATAGTCTGTTTTTTTATAGTATAGTACATTAGACTCTATTGTACTATGTTGTTCTTGTTTTAGTAGATTATCATCATGTTATAGAGAGAGCCCTAAACCCTAAAACCCTAAGCCCTAAGCCCTAAGCCCTAAACCCTAAACCCTAAACCCTAAACCCTATAAGAGCAGTGCAGCTCCCCTGCATCCCCCTTTTCCTTTGAGGACCTCAGACCCTGGCTCCTCGAGCTGAACCCGGGCCCAGCCATGGGCTTCGATCAGCGGGCCGCTCGGATCGCACTCTTCCACGGATTCAGGGAGTTTAGGGGTTCAGGGTTTAGGGCTTAGGGTTCAGGGTTTTTAGGGTTCAGGGTTTATTAGGGTTTAGGGTTTATTAGGGTTTAGGGTTTATGTAGGGTTCAGGGTGGAATTTGAGAGTTCAGGGTTTCGGAGGAGTCCGGTCTTGCTGATGGCCGGCTGATTAACGGAGAGGGCCGGTCCTGAAATTGTCAGGATCCGCAGGCTACGCAGCTCCGCGCCGAAGTGATGGAGGACACCGGGGGGAAGGTCACCTTTGGGGCTCCGGGAGCTGAAGACTCAAGCGGAGCTGCAAAAGTGTCAGCGCCCAGAACTTTCTGTGTCATTCGACACTTGCATGCCCTTCGGCTTTCTGCAGGATCTCTGCCAATTTCTACTGGACCCGCTGCTGCGCAGCGTGCAGGCGGCCGCGAAGACCAAGGACGGGCGCAGACACTCCAGCTCGTGCTTGCGGAGCAGCTCGTGCAAGAGAGCGAAAGCAGATGAGCAGCAAGAACTCGTACTGCTGCTTGCTGCTGCTGCTGCTGCTGCTGCTGTTGATGATACTGATACTCATCACTCTTTCTGCTCTTGCTCCTCAAGCCTCAAGCTGCTGCTGCTGCTGATGATACTGATACTCATCACTCTTTCTGCTCTTGCTCCTCAAGCCTCAAACAGTACTAACTACGACTAGTATGTACCACAACGATGACGACGGTCGTGACTGCGGTAGTCGTTATCGTCTTCTTTCCTCGGTCTGCTTGCAGTAGTCGCTCTGTCCTACGCACTTGGTGCCCACCTCTACCCTGGCATGGGTGCGGGTTCTGGAGAGGATATCCTTCCGAACAGGCTTCGCTAGTCACCCTGTTCTGCCCAGCACGGCCCCAAATTTACACCATCCGAGCAGACTGTTCAGGAGGATCGTGCCAGGCCGGACAGAGTCTTGTGGCTTGTTTCTGTCTCGCGGGAAATCTTGATTCAACAAGGTTTTCGGGTCCACGTTGTCCATGGCCTCTTGGTGTTTTGTCCTCATAAGCCCTTGTCAGGTGGAGCTCCGTCCGCCTCATGTCTGCAGGAAGGCTTTGGGCAAGAGTCACTGCCATCGACGCAGCATGAGCCTGAGAACTCCCAAGGCAAGGTACCCATGAAAACGTCCAAGTCGGAGCAGCGCGGGTTCGTCGAAATCTTCTGAGCGGCAAAGCCGCGACGCCAGTCCGCTCAGCCCGGAAAAGGAGGCGTCCAAATGCAACGCACAAGGTCACCAGGAAAGGCGGACAGTGATGAGTCTCCTGAACCCGAGTCACAAGGAACACGAAAGAGTCTGTTTGTGGAGCACCTAAACCCTCACGGGCCCCACGAGCGGAAGGGACCCTCGCTGCCTGCGCGCTCTGCCGAGGCCGATCAAATGCATGGCCTGCCCGAACTTCGAGGCTCCGGACAGGGAGGCCAGCGTTTCCGAAGTCTCTCAAACCTATTGCAGTAAGTGCGGCTGCGGGGAAGACAGATTATGACAAGCTTGAGATTTTCTGGAAGGCCTACCGGTTACACTGCGCCACAGAGTGGCACAAGCACTCCCGTCACGTTTGTCTGCACGCAGACTGCAGCGGTTTCTGCAGTGGAGCTCTGGTCGTGCTCGTCGTTGCTTCGCAGAAGCTCCAGTGGTTTAGGCTTCTGGGAGACCTGGGCGGTGCAAGATTGGCTGGAGTAGAGAGCAGGGTCTTTTTTCCCAGGCTCTTGAGCTTCCCAGAGAACCCAATACCCCTTAATTAAGGGATATACCTTAAAATCATAATATTAGGGCCCTTATAATTTAAGGTATATTCCTTAATTAAGGGGTCTTGGGTTCTCTGGGTTACGGGTCAGGTACAACACCTCGCAGCGGATGATGGGAAGGCCCGGATCGGGGGTCCCAGAACCCGGAGCCTTCCCGAAGCGAAGCCCCAGGAAGATGAGAGCATTGAAAGTAAGGCCAGAGAGAGGGCACCTGAACCCTTCTGGGCTCCCGATGTGCCTTTGCAGGCCTACCCTCACGGAGGAGGAGTACAACGAGAAATGCCTGTGGCCCAGTGTGGTTTTGCAGGACAGGGAGCTCTGTGTCACTATGTGGTGGGCTGAAGGCGTGGGGGTTCAGAAGTTTAGGGGCTCCTGGATCTGAGCCCCACAAGAAGCACGACGTTGTGTCTGGCCATCATGGATTGGTTGCGAGAGATTACTAAGCCGAAGCCCCAACTTCATGTCGGTTCCCCAACGCTCCGTCACAGTTGCGCCGGCTCCTGCGGCTGCGGAACCGCCGGTGCGCTGGCACAGCTTCCTCAGATTGCCGACGTCGGATGTCGGATGTTCTTCGGGTTCGGGTTTTGTGGATGAAGGAGCTCGAGAAGCTCAGTTGGATTCAGAAGTTCAGTCTGATGTGTCTTCGATTGAGAAAGAGCTTGGAGAGCTTCGGAGGTTTTGAGTGTGTCCCCGTTCGATTGCTTCGTGTTCGTTCATAGGTCTTCCCAGGGAAACGCAAGGCCAACTAACAAGTTGATCTTCAAGAGGGTACCAGTTTCGACTGGCAGCACCGCGGAGTCTTCCCGAAACATGCCCAAGAGTTGACAAGAATGGCAGCAGTTACAAAACGTCCAAGCAACAGTCCATCAAAAGATCAATGTCGAGAAGCCAGGCAGGCAAGCCTTGACATGTATTGCATGTAAAGTCTTAATTCCACAGTGCCAAGCTTTTATTTCCCGTTTGGGCAGACTTCTCCTTTTTTATTTTTTCCCCCTGTTTGGATTCCAGAAGCAGGCCGAGAAAGACTCGGCTCCGGAGCCTTCCCAGGCTCGGCTGCAGGGCGGTGGGGGAAGCGGTGGCTTCGTGAGATTCGCTTACTTTGGGAGCGGTGCATGAGGGGCCCTAAAAATTTCAGATCTTGCAGTTTCTGGGAACCTAAAGTCTTTGGCAAAGGGGGTCCCTAAACCCTGAGAAGTCTTATACCGCGGTAGATAGCCTAAGCCCTGAACTCGCGGAGTCTCTCCCAGATGCCAGGCCGAGCAGGAGGAGGCCCAGAAGGTCTCCGTTTGTATAGCCCGGCTCCCGAACTCTTCTTGTGCATTTGGGCGCTTCTCTGGGATGGAGGGCTTTTGATTCTAAAAAGGCGGAGGCAGCTACTCCCCGGTGCCTTCTTTGATTTCGTGAGGTCTTCCACCACAAAGAGGAGAGATGGAGCCACATCTTCAAGATCTCCCAAGGACGGGGGGGGTTTTGGCCAACCACATGGGCAAAACGGTGAGACCCGAGCCGGGGCCCAAAGAAAGATGAACTAACATCGAAGAAGAGGGGCAGCTTGTTGTTAATATAATATAATATATTACATTAAAACATATTATAATTCAGTATTCGTTAGTATTATAGAGTAGCATCGTATATGATATCAAGCCTTCAAGCTTCCTCTCCCTCTCTAGCGACTCTCCCCCGCCATCTTTCTTCACACGAGTTTCTCGCCGTGTCGCTGAAAGCAGCAGAGAACTGCAGGGGCCAGCGTCATGGACTTGAAGAAAGCCATGGCTGGCACCTCGTTGGCCCGTTCCTGCAGGTTTTGCTTAGGGGGGCCTGGGGATGTGTGGAGGATTTTTCAGGGGTTTCAGATAGTTTGACGGGAGAGGTGGGAGGCTGACAGGCACAACTGACTTCGAAGAAGGCTTCCTCCTCCTCTGGGGGGGGTTTTTTAAGGCTTGGACCTCCGAATCGTCGGCACCCTTCGCCCCGAGGTGAAGCCGGACAGCCCGGAGGATGATGCCGAGAGCCCAGAGAGGAACTCTGCGACGCTTTGCTCCGGCTGCTCTCGTCTCGACATGTCTCTGTCAAAAAGTCCATACATTCTTCCGGGTCGTTGTGACTTTGGAACTGTCGGCCGCCTCATTTCTGAAGCTTTCGCCCTCCGCTGCCCTCTCGGCCTTTGAGGTGCTATCATTCAGCTTGAAGAGAGGCGGGTCCATGAGCGTGATAGGGTGTGGGCTGGGAGGCTAAGTCTAGAAATCTTCGTGACTGAAGGGATGCTGGTGTAGGTTCGGCCATGCGCCACGGACGAGACTCACCAACACAGAAGATGCATTCATCATCATTCATCCTATCTCACTAACTCCATTGCCTCGCTTGGGCCTCGAGCCGATCTCTTCATGCTGTGGAGATAGATGGTCTTCGGCACCGAACCAGCAGCTCTTCAGAGAGGAGCAAAGTCGTCTCAATCTACTCCGGGCTCCCGGCTTTCCGCAACCCGCAGGCATGATCAGGCCCTCTCATTTCGAGACGCTTGAGAACGCCGGCGCCTCGGATTTCCGACAGTTCACCACCCAGCAAATCAAGCGGACTTCCTCGTGCCCTGCCGAAGTGGAAGGGGGACCAACGACCACCCTGTGCGGAGAGAGGAACTGCCCCTGCCTGCGGGACTGGTTTTCAAAGCGCCCTTGGCCAAGGATGACACTTTTGACTTCGCCTACGTTGGCCCTGAGGACAGAAGAGAGAAGCTTCAGGGTTTCGGGCGTGCCGGGATTGCCTGGATCGTAGGCTGCGTCGGGGAACTCGAGAATGGGGCACTTTATGAGAAGGAAAGGCAGTAGCCAAGAGGCACCTTGAGCAGTGCCAAGCATACGGTCTCAGAGTTCTCGCCCAACTTTGCACCCACCCTCCGAACCCGGAAACCGGTTGAAGCCTTCCGGCTGCCCATCATCCAGTGTGGTCTCCATCACACCCAATGTTCGCATCTTTGGCGTAGAGCAAGCGGACCGAGTCCAGTGTGTGGCATGCTTGTATTGGAGATACACAGGATACCCGATTTTCCGGCGAGGCTGCTAGGCTTCGGGTATGTACGGCATCCGTCTCCGCGGCCGTTCTGGCTTGGCAAACCCTTCGATTGACGAGGTAGGGCCCCCCTTGGCAAGCCTTGACAAAGTTCAAGGCGGAGAGCATGGAAGATGCGGCTCGTGCACCCTTCATGCTCGAAGAATCCGAAGCTCCGCGAGGGAGGCGGTTTCCGCGACCTTCGCTGCGCCAGGTCGGAGGGAGGGGTGCAGAGTCCCGCCGCCCCTAAAAAGGGACACTGATAGCCTGTGCTCGGTCTTTGAAGCCTGGAAATCTGGAGCCTGGAGTTCAGGATGTGCACACAGAACTGTGAAAGTATTCTCCCAGATTTAGCTTGGCAATGTCATCCCGATTCCCCGACGAAGCCCTGAACTCTGAACTCCACATCCCACACAAAGCTCATTCGCACACACGACTCATGAAGCCTGCTGAAGAGGTTTTGGAGGACAAGTCAAGTACGATAGTCAATGGCTTCTTAGAAATCACGATCTGCGAGACCCACACGAAAAGCATATACTCATAAGCATCTTGTAATCTATTCGAGCTAGTACTCTTGTTGGCTGAAGGGATTCACAAGAAAGGTACCTCGCAGCATCTGAGCACAGAATATCAGAATATTACGTCATCGAGCACTTTCTAGAGCACGCGCACAGGGATATAGCTTGTCTGTCTTTTTCTCTTCTCGCTCTGTCTCTCTTTCTCTGTTTTCGTGTATACAGATTGCGTAAATATCAAGAAGACAAGAGTCTATGGTTTATACTCGTAACAAGAAATGCCGCCTCAAGATCCGAAGCTCTGACTCCACCAATTTTGGAGGGCGAAGGGCACGCCTTTTTGCCGGGCTCTAACGCAGTCAAACGCCGCCAAAGTGAATCACGCCTCGACACGTCCATGCAGCACAAACGTCGACGATGACGACGACGACGACTCCCACTCCCGCAAGAAAAGGAGCACATGCCACAGACATGCACGATCCTCGAGCAACAGGGTAGTTTCAATTGCAGTTTGATGGATAATGTATAGCTTCAGTGTGATGTATCATGTAATAGAAAATCTCTTTCCGAAGCCGCAAAAAAGAAGCCCCCAGAGAGGTGGCTGCAGGCTGCCTCCTCTTGCTACTGGGCCTCCTACTCGGTGTAGCGCTGGCTTCCGGCTCCACGCAGGGCCAAAGTCCCCTGCGCGCGGCAGGCAGGTGGCGAGTTCTGCCCTTTGGAGTTGAGGTTGTTGGTCGCTTCTTTTGGCCTTGCGTGAAATGCTTCCGATGGAAAAAGTGGAAGGCTGGAGTTTGATTGTTGTTCCCGGTTTCGCAGGAGGACTTATATAGCAAGAAAGAGCCGTCAGTGAGATTCTGTGTCCCAGTTCTTCAGGTGTAGAGCCAGGTCCATGACTCTGCGGTCTGAATCTACTTGCACCTGAAACAGAGGTGAGGCCTCGCCGTTATCATCTCCACTGGACTCTGCAACGACGCCCACCCCAGCTACACCACCAAACCCCTCCGCCGCGGCCGCTTCGCCGGTCTCGTCGAGCATTGCGCCCGTCGAGACGAGGGAGTGCCTTGGTCTGCTGGTTATGGGGTTTTCTTCGCTGGTTCAAGTGATACAGTTGTCTTTATCGGTCTCCAGGTGCTTCCAGCACATGCGCTCGTAGGTAAGATCCGAAAGCCCTACGGAGAATGATGCCAGGTGCCCGGAAGCTGAGCTAAAAGGCGGAGTGATGCACAGTTGTTACCACAAGTACAAGGCCCCGTCGTGCTTCGAAGTCAACTTGAGTGCGTTCTCTCCACTAGACTCAGCAGAGCTACTTCCTTCCACGTGGTGATGCCTCGACATACCGTTGTTGAAGTCCTGTGGTTGAACATTAAGTATACACCCAAACTCCCAAAAGAGCTCCAAGCGCCACAAGATCTTCGGCTGTACCCTACACGGCGTTCAGACCAAGATAGACCAAGGTCTGAGGCTCTGGCAGAGCTCCGCAGAAGCTTGGACAGGCCCACCGTCGGCAGTGGCTTCAGTGCAGAAGCGGCCGAATTGCTTCGCTTCTGCAGGGCAAGGGTTCCAGAGTTAGGGACGGAGATGGACGGAGGCTGTGGAAGCTGGCCGTATGTCGTGAGGTTTATAGCGGGGCACCTGCAGATGCTGAATCCGGGGTCTTTCCTTCTATGCTGACCGCTTTCGCAGGCTCGCTGCCAAAATGAATGTGGAACAGCGGGCACCGACGATGTCTGCTTCCGCCGAGACCTATGTGCGTCCGTGTGTCAATGGCACTGAGGCGACTCCGCGAGCTGATGGTGTTATCTCCAGGTCATCCGGCAAGCACTCGCCCCCCGGGGAAGTAGAGCTGCGTTTCGACACCAAGGCTTCTTTGAAGTTCAATGAGCTTTTGCTTTTGTGTCAGCCGAGGCCTTGTGTACCGGAGGATTGTGACCAGGGCGATATGGAAGCGGGCATGGACTGCCACTGGACTGGAGGATATAAGGCGCATTGCCAACGGATCTGCAGAAGAGGATTGCGAGCATCTCCGGCTGGCTCATTTGCGGATGCCAGCCAGAACCCGATCTCTTGCTCCGATGTTTTTACGGGTCGTGCTCGCGATCACATGGAGGTTGTTTCGACTTCCTTGGAGTGGACCGCTTCCTCCAGTGACTTTGCCATAGTGGACCTGTGGGGAGGTGGCGGTGGGGGTACGGGCACCATGGTCAAGACACAGCAAGGACGAGGCATCAACGTCCGCCGAGCTGGGTCGGGGTCTTCGGGCTACATGCAAAACATCCCCGCATGGCAGCGTGACTTCGACCCGACGGGATTGTATTTCCCTGATGCAGACAGTGCTGGGAACGCACGGTTTGCCCGCTGGGACGACCTCTATCACCTCAGCTACAAGCAAGACTGCCAATGCTGGAAGTTCGCCTTGAACGCTGACTACTTTTCCAGCACTATGGAGGCAAGGCTGGCAGAAGCCGCTGATGAAGTTCCACTTGGAGATCGCACCTGGTCGTTTCTGATCCAGAACGGTGAGCAGAGTGACAAGCTGAGCCTGGAGTCGTTCGACAGTTCCTACGGCATTTGCGGCGGGTCAGGTGGGGCTGGTGCCCATGTTCGTGCCCTGGTGGAGGTGAAGGGCGGGCATACCTACCGAATCGAAGCCGGTCGCGGCGGACGTGGCTCCAGCGGTCGCGGCGGTGCCGCAGATGGCCAGAGCAGCCGCATGTTGGAGAAGGGACGCTCAGGCGAGTGGCGAGTGCTGGCCGAAGCCGGCGGGAGCTCCGGTGCGGGATCCTTTGATGGCAGCCTTAAATTTTTTGGGTGGTCGTGGCGGGACAGCTCCCAAATTGCCTGCACACATTTCTGCCGTTCCTGGACAACCAGGAAGGCCCTCCAGGTCCAGCCTCCTGTCCGACCACCCGATCTTGGACATGTGTAACCCGTACCCGTACGGGTTACCAATGTGCAACTTCGATTTTGGGCCGGAACTTCCCAAGAGACTGTTTCCGAAAGGCATGTCTTTGACATGCAGCCAGCCGCAAGGACGGCTTGGCGCATATGTTGCTAAGACGTATACGTTACCGCCACGGTGTAGAGCCACGAATGCGAGGCTTCCCGTGAATACGGCTGCGAACCCTGATTACTTTCTGACATGTTCTTCAGGCGCTCAACCCAGCTGTCTTGGCACCCAATGGCCGCAGTCTACCCCTGCGGGGCAAGGAGCGACGGGCGTGGGGCTAGCGGCCAAGATGCGCAGTGGTTGGGGTGGGAGCGGCAGCTGCCCCCAAATAAAGGAGGGCTCCAAGACAGAGCTGCAAGCAATGGCAGGCGGAGATGGACACAACGGCTCAGTGATATTGAGGCGATGCAAGAGGGAGGGGGCTTATACCCTAGCTCTGCAGCGCTGCCGAGGCAGCCATGCGTGGACCGTCCATGGCCTATGGCCACGGGGAGTGCAACACTGCGAGGGGTCACCTCCCTTCGACGCGTCGGCCTTGTCTGCTTTGCCGCAGCTGTCGACCCAGTGGCCCTCTTGCTTGCGGGAAGTCACTGCTGCAGCCTTCTGGGAGCACGAGTGGCAAAAGCACGGCACCTGCTTCGGCAGCAGCCTCGCCCACTATTTCGAGCTCACGCTTAGGCTGCTGGTTCAGCATTCCCATGCCTGCGATGGGTTCACCTCAAAGGACTGCTGGCTCTGCCTCACGGAGAACTTCGAGTTGTGTGACCTGGACTCCTAAGGGCAGCACTCGCTTCTTCCAGCTGCAGTGCCCATGCGGACCCTCCTCGAGGCAAAGCCATGGGCAGCATGGACGGCAGCCGGACAGGTGCCAAATCACTGCGAGGGAAGAGATTCAAAAACCTGGAAGTCCGCCTCCAACCCAAAGCCCTCCGTGCCTCCCTAAACCCTAACCCCTAAACCCCTAAACCCCTAAATCCCTAAACCCCTACTAAACCCCTACACCCCTAAACCCCCAAACCCCAAACCCTGAGCCCCTACCCCCCTTTCAGCCTTCGCAGGAAGGAAAATCCCTGCTGGAGCGGGCCCGGGGCCTCGGAAAAGTGGGCTAAAACAGGTCTTACGGTTGAGGGTTCTTGAGGGGGGGTTCCAAGACCTCCACTGGGTGTCGGACCCGGAGTGCTGCGAAATATTTCTGCAGGAGCGTTTTTTTCCATGCGAACCGGACTTTATTGTAAAAAGCACGGGGCTCACATCGGCTCCTGCTTATGTCTGTGCTGTAAACCCTAAACCCTAAAAACCCTAAAACCCCAAAGCCCTAAAGCCCTGCATAGTCCGAAGTTTCGGGCCCAGCCTTGAAGCCACGGCCAAAGGATGAGCGGCGACGTCGCGATGAGCAGGCAAAGCTCGGATGCGAGCATGCTGGTGTCGTGTCTTGCGGGCATCGAGGCTTTGTTCATGCAACTTGTGGGATTCGAAGGTAAGCAGCCTGTCAAAATCACTGACGGGCATCAGTGAGAGAAAGTCTGCGGCCAATCCCGTGCCTGGTGCACTGCCAGAAGGGATCCACAGCAAACCAGTTGCAAAGATTGCGGCTGCTCATGACTGCATTTACGACTGTAGGTAGGAATAAATGTATGTAGCTATGTATGTAGGTAGGCAGGTCGGCAGGCAGGCAGGTGGGCAAGTCAAAAGGTAGGCAGGTGGGCCTCCAGACCCGAAATCCAAAGTCACATGCATCCTATGACCTATGGCAGCCACTTCTTGTCTGTGGTTCAAGCCTATGGAACCAACGACCTTCTCTGATGCAGTTTGATGACAGCGAAAATCCCAGCCGTTTCCTGAAAATCGCGGGTCTTGGTTGAAGCTAATTACAACCCTATATTAACTCTTGTGATGACCTTCATAGCAACCCTGACAGTAGCCCTTATAATAACCCCCCATAGTAACCCTTGGGCGCAATCTGCAACTCGAGTGCCAGGCCTGAGATGCGTCTGAGGGCCCGTGCTGGATAATGTCAGCGATGCCACTTCGGCTCGGCTGTTTGCCAGGGGTGCCAGCGAATGCTCAAGACACGTCTTTAGACTCAACGTAATTAGATGCTCTGCTGCCAAGGGCTAGAGGCCCGGTGTTGCTGCCCCTGAAACGAGGCGGCTTCAGAAACAAAGGACATCCACCGGTATGAATCACTGAAGCTCACAAGCAGGCAGACATGTTGTCATGGGCATGTCACGGGTCCTAGTTTGAGGGGGAGAGAAGTAGAGACACTATTATCACACAGGCATGAGTGTCGGATGTTATGCCTGCACCCCAGTTTGAAGCCGCCACCGATTTTCCCAATCCTCTTGTGTCCATGACAAGAGCTTACTACCATGGATTTCCGGTCAACAAGACTGTGGGAGATCTACGTGCAAAACCGAAAAGCGGGCCTGCACTCAGAGCAAAGTAGAGGATAGTAGAGGCTCCCGAACCCAAGAACACCGCAACCCCAAGGCTTTGCCGTGCCTTGCCTTTGGTCCCCCCAAGCCTGGGCAATGCCCGGGATCAGGTGAAGCGGTGCCGTGGGGCGCGCAAAAAAGACGAGGGCTTTGGGATGGTAGCTTTCCAGTCTAACTGCCATGATAAGGAATTCCGCTTCCGAAGTCGTCGAGAAGGCATGGTGTAGCCTTTGTTCTCAGCTCCGGCGAAGCCCGCAACTCTCAACGCAGCTTCTTTCAAGCCAGACAAAAAGCTTGGGCTTGTGGCAGCTTCTCGCTTGATCTTCGGTTCCATGGCCTACATGCTGGCGTAGATACGGTTTGTGGGAACCTGTCACGAACCCATGCTTCGGACCTCTCGGACCCCCCCTCCCTCCCTTCGTCAAGAAAGGCCCGTAGTAGAGACTAGGAGCCCAACATGACCACTTTTGAGCGGCTCTTCGGGGCGGAGCCGGCCCGCAAAGGCGGGTGCCATGGTGTCGGGTTCGAAAACCGACTCTTCACTGACAAGACTACACGCACAAAGGCGGTGTTTGCCACAGTGAATCTCAGTCAGTCCTGGAGACCCTGCCATTGCAGCCAGCCTGCCCTAGATCTCAGATTTCGCCAGGAGCGCAGTCACCAAGCAGAGACCGACCTCCGTCGATTCTCCCGCTCTCTGGCGCTGAAACAGTGAGAAGATTGGAGTTCCAGACTTGAGGGTGGAAGGGAAAAGGTGTGCTTGTACTGGGCATGCTGGGCCCGGGTGTGTTAGGCAGTAAAAAGACGACGGTTTTTCAGCTCCGATCGGCAGAAGCACTGGACAAGAGCAGACCAAGCCAAACACTGAAAATTGACCTCTCTTCTCTTTCCCTGCCCCGTAAAACCCGACCCCCTGACCTCCTGGGGCTTGCACGACACCGAACCTCTAAACCCTAAACCCTAA